TCCATGTATGCCTGCCTCAACTGCTGATAACACTGTTGTAAAACAATCATACTTTATTGCTGTTTTAAACTTCAGTTTATTTTGCTATTTAATGGTTACATGTCCAAAAGCTGAGATTAAGAAGGAAATCAACAAGCGTTATCAGGTACTGATAAACAAGTGCAATTTGTTATTTATAATCTTCCAGCTAAGTCATATGCAGGCAATTCTCATGGAGAAGTGAATTGGTTTTATATTCAACTCAGCTTGTAAAGAACTATTATATGGAAAGTGGAATAATCCTCCTGCCACACCATGTGGCGTGGAATAACCACAGCAGGACATTATTTGGACAAGGAGAAATGGTACCTTTAATGGCCATTACAGTAAATGCAAAGTGACAGTCAAGGGAGATGCAAACTTAATTTTTTTTTTTAAAAAAAATTAAGTTATACAGTATTATAAAATACAAAAGTAAATAAAAGAGCAGTGAGGGGGAGGGGAAGGGGAAAGAAAAGTGAGGAAAGGTAGGGAAAGGAAAAGAAAAAGCATTGACTTCCAACTCTCTCTGTTGCAGTAGAATAAGGCATTAGCATCAAATCACAGCTTTTTGCTTTTCCATAATAGTATGAACAAGTCGTTTCTATACAGATCTATCAATCTAATCTGTACAACCCCAAGTCAAAGTTTCATTCTTCTCAACATCAAGCACAAAGTTCAGAAGCGATTTCCACGTGGAAACAAAAGTACTTGTGTTCTTTTCTTTAATCAAAGTAAAGGAGATGCAAACTTAATTAGAATGCTGAATGGACAATTTGTAGTAGTGAACTGAAATCTTCTTCTTCCATGTGCAGATCAAACTTTAAAATGCCAGAATGTAGCCACCTTTTTGGCTTTGTCACTGACCAAAAATAAATCATTATCGATACATGTTTCTGGCAGTAGGTGACATTCCAGTAGATGTGCCAGGCTAAAATCACAAAGCACCATTTTGTAAGTCTAGTTCAATATCAGTTCATTGAAGCCATGTGCAAAAAGAAAACAGATTCTTGTCATTGTCACTAAAACTGTCACTAGAATTACAAATGACCTTAGTTTTAGAGTACTTTACACCAGGGGTATAAAATACTTCACTCTACATCAGGGGTGTCAAACTTGATTTCATTGAGGGCCACATCAGGATTGTGTTTGACCTGGGAAGGCTGGGGTATGTGTATGGCCGGGGTGGGCGTGGTCATGGTAGGCGTGGCCAGGGTGGGCATTTGACATAGCCTCAAGATGCATTTTTTCCCCTTCTTTCTTTTCACAGTTCTTTACTATAACCATTTTCCTATCTCTTCTACAGATATTACTGGCAAACATTTATTACATATTCTTCATAATCCACTAATTTTTTATTTCTAAATTTATACCCCATTGTTTAATAGTAAATTGCTTTTCTAGGCAGAAAAGCTATTTATACTATTGTATTTTTATTATTCATCTAATAATAAAAATACAATAGCATAAATAACATGATAATACAAGATATAAGAACAGAGGTAAATTTCCAAGATAGTAAATAGAAATGGCTGTCAATTGTAGATTGTTGATTGTAGATTAAATGGCCCTCCAGTATGTAAAACCTGGCATTAAACTGTAGTATTAACATAGGATGTTGCTTGTTTTCTATCCAGATCAGGCACTTACTTGAGGCCACATATTTGTAATCTAGTCCAATCCAGTCCTCCTGCAGCATTCTGCCAGCCACATGGAAGCCCTGCATGGCCCGTTTCCGGGTGGCAGAGTGCTGCTGGAGGCCATGGAGGCAGAAAACAGGTCATGGGGGGGGGACACAAGCCCACTCCCTGTGGTCTGTTTTGACCAGCAGAGGCACTGCGGGCTGGTTCTTTGATATTTCCAGGCCAGCCTCATGGGCCAGACTAAGAGCCTTGGTGGTGCAGCGGACTAAAGTGCTGTTAAGTGCTAGCACTTAGCTGCCAGCTGCCTGCAATTAGTGCAAGTTCGAATCTCACCAGGCTCAAGGATGACTTAGCCTTCCATCCTTTCAAGGTAGGTAAATTGAGGACCCGGATTGTGGGGGCAATAAGCCAACTTTGTATAGAACAACACCGCTTAGGGGAGGCCGAAAGCCCTAATAAGCAGGTATATACAAAAAAGTATGCAGGCTATTGCTATAATCCATTGTAAGCCCCCTGAGTCTATGGAGAAGGGCGGCATATAAATTGGAGTAATAAATAAATAAATAAATAAATAAATAAATAAATAAATAAATAAATTTAAGTACCCCACGGGCCAGATCCGGCCCATGGGCCTTTAGTTTGACATCTCTGCTCTACATGGACAGGGACAATTTTGTAACAGTGACTCAAAAATCTCTCATTGGCCTTATTGCATTGCTGAATTTTACAGACTGCCTTTTTAAAAAGTCAGAATAATTAGTTTGATCCTGAGTACAGTAGTTTAAACAGGAAGTTGCTGAGATGATCATATTATGCCAATCATTTGCAATTTACACTGGCTACCAGTTCACTCCCAAGCCAATTCAAAATGCCAGGATGAATGAATTGAGATCAAATTAATCTGGAAGTTTTCTTCCATATTTAACTATCGATATCCTAACATTTTCCTTTAAGCACTTCTAAAGCAGCCTTTTACAAATGAGACAGGTGGCCATAGTAAAGGCCAAGTCCTTCAAGTCAAGCTCAGTTTTTGTTACTTCATGGACAAACAGTTTTCTTGGCAACAACATGAAAGCAGGATGCTTCTGTCTTTCAGAAGGGTTTTTTTTTTTTTCCAATTGCCAACCCAGTTTACAGTTCTGGAATTAACTGGGCTCATCCTATTCAAGTAGATAGACCCAGTCCAGTTACATTTTTTTATAGATCAACCAAGGTTAGCTAAATTCCATCATTTGCTGCAACCACAATAGATGGTGGCACATTTATGAAATGAACACTCTCCTATATTATCCTTCTGGCCTCAGGTAAAGACCTTTATTCTCCCAAATATTTAAGAGAAAAAAACAAACAATTGTACCAATTTTAAAATCTCGTTCTTGCTATTTGGAAGGAATTGTTTTACTTTAATATGTGTACACTTTACATATTATCATTGATAATTATGATTACTACTGTTTTTTTCTGTGGTGGCTTTATTACTTCTTTGTAGGAAAATGCTGTAACTGAGGTATTAAACTGATGTAGTTGAGAAGCATAATAACATGGATTGAAATTAAAACTAAACAAAACAACTAAGCAGATATAAATGAATCTATATATTGTGAGTACATGCTCATTTCCAGACTCTTGTGTAAGAGTAAAGCAGCTTTCCCAAGCTGTCACTCCATCTATTCAGCACCATCCTCCACAATTCTCATCTATAGGGACATCACCATGTGGGGAAAGATCTAAGAGCTACTCTTGTGTAAATAAAACACATTTGGGTGTAATATTGAGTACATATTCATAGTACCAATTTCTGAATAAACGTAACTTGCTACTGTATCTGGTATAAGAAAGTTTTGGGAAAAAAATATAGGAAGTATTAATACAGGTAGTCCTTGACCTATGACCACAATTGAGCTCAAAATGTATGTTGCTAAATGAAACATTTGTTAAGTGAGTTTTTAGTAGGTTTACGACCTTTCTTGCCAGAGTTGTTAAGTGAATCACTGCACTTGTTAAATTACAGAGTCATGTTAAGTGACTCTGCTTCCCCATTGTCTGAAGGTCGCAAAAGGGGATCACATAATCTTGGGACATTGCAACCGTCAACTGTCTGAATTTTGCAAACTGTCTGAATTTTGAGCATATGACCATGGGGATGCTGCAATGGTCTTAAAGCATGAAAAATAGTCATAAGTCACTTCAGTGTCATTTTAACTTTGAACCAGCGGTGGGTTTGCCCCGTTCGCACCGGTTCTATAGAACCGGTAGTAAAATTGGCGGGAGGCTCCGCCCACCGACCCTGATGTCATCAGAATGCTTCTGTGCATGCGCAGAAGAGCACACGCGTGCAAGCGCGCGCGTGGCCCCGTTGCGAACCGGTAGTAAAGGTAAGGAGAACCCACCCCTGCTTTGAACGGTCACTAAACGAACTACAGTTTAGTGAACTACCAATTCAACTTCTTTTCCTCTTACTACATCTCCTTGGTTTTTCTTTCATTTTGGGTGGTCCAAGGCAGCTGACTCGATAAAATCTTGGAATCCGGGGCAGAAACCCTCAACAAAACGCAAAACAAAGCTTTCTGTCGCCCGAACGGCATGTTGACGTAGAGAATCTGAAACCGGGAAGACCTTCTTCCTCCACCAGCTACTAAAACTTCTATAGTCATTTCTAATTTCTCATCCTTCCAAAAGTGGCGCTCTAAGCTCTTTTTAAATAAAAGGCGGAATGGGGGGGGGGTTGCGTAAAGCGTAAACTTTCCTCGCGTCCGATTTCGACTGAGGGGATGGCAAAGTAAGGTGAGAACTTCCCCTAAAAATGGGAGTAGGAGGAGTTGGTGGGGGGGGGTGCGGGAGAGTTGTAAAATTTAGGAAAACCGCAGCAGTTTCCCCAGCAACGGCTGTAGAAGGATTCTGAATCCAGCCGTGAGGGAAGAGACGCGTAACAATTTACAAGGCGGGTTTTCCCCCCCCCCCTCTTTATACAAGTCCCTCTTGAGATGCGCTAACGATCTTTATTACGGGGAAGTTCGAAAAGAAAAGAAAAGAAAAGAGAAAAGAGAGAAGAGAAGAAAGGAGAAGAAAGGAGAAGAAAGGAGAAGAGAAGAGAGAAACAACAACGTGGAATGTGAAAAGAGCGACAGATTAGCGATATGTTTTGATTATGGTGGGGCGGGGTGGAGCGAGAGAGAGAAAAGAGACTTTTTCTTTCTTTCGCTCTCCGCGCCTTGTTTACGCTTTCTCGAGGCGCGAAACACGCGCTGGGTCCTCCTCGCCCGCCTAGATCAGCGAGGCGGCTCCCGGGGCTGGGGGGGGGGGGGGGGGTGCTTTCTTTTTTTTTTTTGCACCCCGACCCCGAAGCCCGCCGTCTCCGGGGGGGTCTTTAGAAAGGGAGAGGGAAGCAGGAGCTGGCCTCGCTCTCCACGATCGGTGCGCAGGTTTGAGCTGCAGCCAGGACAGACCGGTGAATGTCTGGGAGAGTCGGGAAGTGATGCCTCCCTGCGGAGGAGGGTTCTTACTTCCACGCAACAGAAGACGAAACCTGCGGGGCTTCTTTCCTTGCTGCTTCCTCCCAAGTATTCTTGGGAGCGATTCGCCGACTTGCACGCTCCTTTTGGGTTATTTATTTATTTATTATTATTATTTTTATTCCGGGAGGTGCTGCTGCTGCTGCTGCTACTTGAGTTCCGAAACCCGAGTGGGCGGAGGCGGGCGGATAACCTCATTCCCTCCTTCTCCCTCTCGCCCCCCACTTTTTTTTTTTTTTTCCTTTTCTTTCTCGTTATTGCTAAATGACTTTCAATTAAGAGCATAGCCGGCTATTATGCAGCAGAGACGGAAGACGTGCGGTTAGCGTGGAAAAAAAAAAAAGAAGAAGATCTGGCAGGCTCTTCCCACTTGTTTCAAATCCTCGTCTCGGGGACTGGGTGAGTTTGGCTTTGAGTCATCCATGGAAGAATGAAACGCTTCTTTTTGTTACAAACGAATGAACGAGGCATCTCCGGCTTGGATAATTGAGCGCGTTTATTCCGCTAACAGAATGTTTTACTTTTTTTTAGGAACAATTATTTTGCATTCTGGATAACGGGGGGGTCAGGTTTTGCCCTCCCTTCTCCGATTTCTTTCATTTCTGCCTTGTTTCGTGAAATTTCCTCTCCTGCCAAGCAACGCTCCCAGGGCCCGAAGGACTAAACTGACGTTTGAGCCGGTTCTCTCGTATATATTTTTGTTTGTTGGTAACAACTGTGGAGTGTATTTATAGGCAGTGTTGTAATTTTGTGGTGCAGAAAGTTTCAATTTTGTTCAGCCAGCCATTTACCACAGACCCAGACACCCTGTAATGTTCCGATGAGAATAGATACAGGTTACTGAAGGGGAAGAGTCAAGTGCTGGGAGGCCCCTGCAGAGTTGGGTCCGCAACATTTTGGCACCCATGCAGAAGGTAGTTTTTTTAAAAAAAAATATTGTATGGCTGGATTCATGCTGTGGGGCTGAAGAGACAGCTGTGCAACCAGAAAATGTGCTTTTTAATCTGTCACGGAACTGCATGGGGAAGTGGGACAAATTGGAGGGATGAATTCTGGCAAGTCGCAGCAAGTAGAATGTGAGTTGGCTGCTAGTGGTGGCTTGCACTCTCCAGTAACTTCTGCAGTGGGAATGCCAGCAGTTGTCAGATATGCTGGCATGATCCTTCTGTAGTGCCCTGGATGGATTTGTAGGAACTGGCAGATAAAGTGCTTTTCAGCATGTAGGCAAGCATTAGTGCACCCTGGAGTAGTGCTCAGCTCTAGTGATCTCTCTTGAGGAGATCTAGACTCAAAGCACTCTTAGTCATGGAACTTCTTAATAACTCTGGGCCGGTCCCTTTTCCTTTGATTTCTTTGAGGATAAAAATGATGAGTGTTCTCATGAAACTACTCAGAAGAAACCATAAAGCTGAAATTTGTTGTTAAAAACTAACCAGTTGTCTGCTAAAAGATGAGCAAAGCTATTAGCTCATCTACTGCCTTCATATTGGTTCTATGTTCTAGATAGTTACATAGTAATTACTAGGTGGAAGGCAGCTAGGTTGCTATATGCAAGAGTAGACACCTGTTTGCATAGGTCTACTATGTAAGCTAAGTGTATTAGAAAACAACATCTGATCCCTTGTAACAGCCCTTTGATGACTATTCCCTTCTGTTATATGCTCCTAATTAACCAGTGTTGCAGATTAGGCAGGGCAAGATTATCTTTATTAAATATGTTCCTTTAGAAAATGGGTGTCAAATTCACCATGTCATGTTGCCATCATGTGATGTTTCATGGTGTTTTTCCTATTTGCGGAGCTGGAGTGGGTGTGGCCTGCGCATGACACATCTGGCCCGCGGGCCACCAGTTTGACACCCCTGCTTTAGAAGTTGCACTAAACCCCAGCTATTCTCTTTTAGGAAAGGTGTCAGGACTGTCCTCTTTAACAAGACCTTTTTGGGTTGAAGGAGGGTTGATCTGCATGACAAGCCTGCTCTAGTTGTGAGTATGAGCTACTGCTGATTTTTATTTACTTGTTCTGTGCCACCAAATCAATAGATGCCAAATCATGGAAATTTACAAAACAGGCATAACAATTAAAATATCCACATTAAGTGCCAATAAATGAAACCACCAGTAGTTAGAGTTAAAATAATGCAAGTATAAAAGTTAATGGTGGTATTGATAAATAAAACAAATCATCCAAAATCTGATAAAATGCCCAAACTAATGCAAGTAATTAAAGTCTTGAGGGCAGGGATGTCTGATGGTTTTCTCTACATACACCAAACTTATTGGAAAGGCAACTTTAGACCCTCTTTTTTTTTGGAGGAGGAATGCATCAAAAGTAGTATTTTTTGACATACCTGCTGTGCTTTATTTCATTATAGATAAATAGTGTGTTGTGGACAAAAAAAATCTTCAGCTAGATACTCTGCTCTATATCAGGAATACCCCTCTCCTTCATTCACTAGTTGCTGCCTTGCACATTTTTTGAATAAAAACCTTGATGAAACAGTGAAAAATTATAGTATTAACTATCTCAACCACCTGTGTTGTAAGCTTAAGAATTTGATTTTATTCTCCATGCTTTTCAACACCTAGAATAATCTGTCTGTCTAGCTCTGCAGGCTAAAATATCATGATTTTACCACTTTATGGGCAGCCAACAAATTTAATAAATTATTATATGGATCTCAACTCACTCCTTTTTTTTTTAATTAAATCAAGGGAGAGTGTGGATGCTCTGAATCAATTCTTGGTTAGGATTGGATGAGGGGCAATAAAATTAGATTTAATCAAAACAAAACAGAGATACTGATCAGAAGACTAATTAGGCAATGGTAGGCTATTCTGGAAGAGATTACAGTAATGCAAGAACATCAGATTGGTAGTTTAAAGATCCATTGATAGTCTTTGGATCCATCATGCTTTGCCATACACAGGAAGAGGTAGCCTTAATGGAGTGTTTTATATCACATCAGATTGATACAGGAACTGCTTCTGTAGAAATAGCTTATTCCAGTTAACTTCCAGGATGAATTATTAGAATTTACTGCCCAGAACATGCCTCTAAAATTGCATGAAACTATTATTAGTCTAAAATATTACTTTGGCAAATTATATCCAGGTCTAGTTCAAAGTTTTAATCTTTAATCTTTCAAGTATAAAGTGACTGGCACCCTGATCCCCATATTTAACTCCTGTGATCCTGTTGTAATTGGCTATATATTTCTGTGTACAACTATAAATGAAATTGAAGAACTAAGCACTTTTTTCAGTGCATTTAGAAAGGAAGGAAAGAAACAAAGGGGAAACAAAACTAAATGGATATGAGGTGAAAGGAAGAAGTAGCTAGATAGGAAATAATAGAAAAATAAGCAAAGCCCCATTAAAACATTAACAAGAGTTTACTACAGTGCTAAATGGGTCTTTCTAAGCTCTTCTAAAAGCTAGTCTTTAAGCTAACCTTAGAAGGTAGCCATAGTTTTCATTAGGGATGGTTGCATCCTTTTGCAGCTTCATCAGTTTATACCACCTGCCCTATACCTAACAAATGCAAGACATCCCTTTCCCATCCCTAGTAGTGCCTGGGAATGGGGAAACCTTGTTTTGTTAGAAAAAAAGAGTTAGGAAAGATCTGTGCTTGGTCCACGTGCTGTGGTCAAGTATAGATGCTGCTGATGTTGGAACTGGTAATGAAGGTAAGGAAAGAGGCAGCAAAGGAGCAAGGAAGGTAAAGAATTCAGAGTTGGTTCTTTGGGGAGAGGTAGATGCAGAAAAGAAAAAGAATCCCTTTTCCTCCTTGCTCCCTCAGCTGCAGCAACTTTGCTTGGATGTTTGGCATTAGGGGAGCCTACCCCTACTAGGAATAATGATGTTATTTAAGTTGTTCCATAAGGTCAGTATTCTCCTAAGGCAAGAAAAACAGGTTGCCTATTAGGGAGGTTCTGATCTCTTTGCAAAGACATCAAAGCAAAAATGATGACACAAATATAGGCTCCCTCTGTACAACATAAAGTGTTCCCATATAGAGAATGGCTTGTTCTGTTTTCTTAGCATTAACATTAATTTCCTGCTGGATCACCTTGACCGGCAATTGGCTTCAGCAGTAGGTTGGCCTTGAAACGGTCCCTTGATGTGAGAAAATGTTTTTAACCAATAGTAAGCAACTGCCTCAAAGCTGCTGGGGCCTATGTGGATGAGCATCTTGTCTATGATCAGAGGCTTAAGCAAGTTGAGACTAGGTTAATATTTGAATGGGAGACCAGCAGAGGAATTGTAGATTTAAAAGTTTAAAGGCTAGACTAGGAAGTTGAAAAACCATCCCATGTGGATAAATTTGGATAGATCTGAGCTAAAATTTCTGAAACACAAGCTAACCGCCCCCCCCCCATCATCAGGTGTATTCAAAGGTATTCAAAGATAAGACTTGGATCAAATTATTTCAGTCTTTCAATATAATATGAATTCCACTATCTTTCACAACTTTTGACTACTTCATAAGAACTTGGAGAGAATTAGTTTTGCTTCTCGCATGGATGTGTAAGCAGTTCTTCCTTTTTCGGGGGAGAATTTATTTATTTATTTATTTATGTATTTATTTATTTATTATTAGTTCGAATTATATATGCCACCCTTCTCTGGAGACTCAGGATGGCTTACAATGCATTAAGCAATAGCCTTCATACTTTTGCATATACCTGCTTAGTAGGGCTTTTTGGCACCCCCTGAGCGGTGTTCTATTTTATACAGAGTCAGCTTATTACCCCCACAAACCGGGTCCTCATTTTATCTACTTCGAAAGGATGGAAGGCTGAGTCAACCTTGAGCCTGGTGAGAATTGAACTTGCAGTAATTGTAGGCAGCTGGCAGCTAAGTACTACTTTAACAGCAGCAGTTTAGTCCACTGCGCCACCAAGGCTCTTGGCACCAAGGAATGTATCAACTACAGTACCTTCAATTAATAACTGGTCCCTATATTGGTGCTGCACTCCTAAATAGTGCATGCATCAAACTGTATTTTGGATAGATAATGCTTCCAACAAATACAACAAAAAGATAACAACTTACAACAAATCAACAAACAGGATTGCTAGGCTGAAACTCTTCTGACTTAATCCAAACTCTACTTTATTGATTTTTTTCCTACATAGAGAATATTACTCTCTCAAAAACATCCTCTTTCAGCCACTGTTACTTCTGAACATTCTACATGCTTGCTATGTGGAATGAAGTTTTTCACACTCAAAAACTCTGCTTGCCCTAGAGCAGGGGTGTCAAACTCGATTTCATTGAGGGCTGCATCAGATTGTGTTTGAGCTCGGGGGAGGCGTGGGGGCTGTGGCCAGGGTGGGCATGGCCAGCTTGACATCACTCCTGTTCGGGGACACCTGTGGTGGCCTGAGCGCTCTGCCAATGAAAACAGGCTCCTGAGCTCCATTTTCAACTGCCACTGTCTCTTCCAACTCTCTGCCAGTGAAAACGGAGCTCGGTTTTCACTGGCAGAGGGTTGCAGGAGGCAGTGGCATCCAAAAGCTCCCTTGGGAGCCCATTTTCATTGGCAGAAGCACCGCGAGCTGGTCTTTTGCTGTTTCCAGGGAAGCCACGTGGGCCAAATCTAAGTACCCCGCGGGCTGGATCTGGTCCCCGGGCCTTGAGTTTGACTCCCCTGCCCTAGAGCCCCAGAGGGTTTGAGCTTGAATTTGAATGTAAACAAAGTTCTTTAATGCAACAGGTGTACTAAGTATTTCTCATGATAAGAAACCTGGCTTTTTTTTTCTTTTGAAACAAACTAATCTAGAAATATTAATCTTTACAGCTTACTAGTTTTGGGTTACTTGTTGAAGGCAGGATGAGGAAAAAATACATTTGAGAGTACTGATAAAAGCATGATCTGGTTGCAAAATCTAAAAGCAAAAGGCTGATTTGCTGAGGCTATTGAAAATGTTTCACTGTGACTGCAATGCCTACTTGCATTGAAGTTAATCAAGAGACCTATGGCAAGTAAATCAATTAAACCAAATTTCTACAGTAATTGCTTTTATCTTAATAACATCCAGGGATTTGATATAACCCTTCTTCTAATCTATCACTCCTGAATTAATTTTATGAACTCCTTTGCATCAGTTAATATTTTGAAATCTAGCTTACTAATTAAACAATATTAGAAACATGCCATAAAAGTAGGAAAATATTAGTAAATTAGGAATAGTGAACTGCAGTCATTGGAAGTTGGTGAACTGCAGTCATCTCCCTGTATTCTACTGGATTCCCCCTCCCCACCTTCGGTTTTTTTTTTCACATGAAATGGTGTCATGAAAATGGAGCTGTATAAATACCAACTGTGCAACTTCTATTTTCTGGACTTTTGAACAATGGATTTTACGTGCAACTGATAATATTTTTGCAGTAACATTTGCATAATGTCACATGCAAAATTATGTTTTTGTGTGATGCCATAATTATGCAAAGGTAAAATTGATACAAATAACAGTTGACACCATTTGCATTACTTTCATGCTTTTCCCCTGCAACTACTTTTTTTTTAACCAGGGTTTGTTGTACTTACCCACTTTTTCTGTCAACTAAATCCTGTTAAACAAATATGAATAGTAAGAGTAAGAGATCATTGTGTCAGCTTCATAACTTATTCATGTTCTATACCTCTAACAGAGATTTTATTTAGAGAAGTTAGCTATAGTGATATCTTTTCTTGTATATGTATATTTGATTTATATTTGGTCCACTAAATGGTTCTTGGAAGGCTTACAAAAAAATAATGCTTATTTTTGCAGTACACTGATTTTTTTTCTTTTAGTGAAAATGCTGTTAATGGCAAAAGGGCAAATTAGATTATGCCCCTTTCCCTTCCCTCCCTCCCCTTAATATCTGGCAGAGCGGATATTAATCCTGAAAATCTATGGGTTTTTTTATACAAAGACTGATTCCGTATGTGCAAATTTTACTTGACTTTAAGCTTAATTCTACAATACCACAAAACATAGTGATTGCCTATTGTGATTAGAAATTTTGGAAATTGTAGCCCCTGAAAAAGATGGCAATATGGAAGGCTACTCTGTTTATCTCCCCTCCATATTTCTGAACAGTAGCATCTTTTCAAGGACCATAGCAAAACAAATCTGGACAGTCATAACACATTAATTTACAAGTAGGAATTAGACTTTCATGATGGTTTAATTCAGGGGGGAAATGCTCCCGGTTCGGACCGGATCACCCGATCCAGTAGCGATGGCGGGTGGTTCAGAGAACCAGTAGCAAAAATCCCTGCGCCCCTCCCCATGCCCAGTTGAGCCACGCGATCACCAGAGGCTGTTTTTTTTACTTTTAAAAGCATTTTTTTCTACAACCTCTTCGGCTGAAAAAATGCTTTTAAAAGTAAAAAAAAAAGCCTCTGATGATCGCGCGGCTCAACTGGGATTGTCACCCCCCCCCACCAAGCCACGCCCATAGAACCAGTAGTAACAAATTTTACATTTCACCACTGGCTTAATTCATTTGTTTGTTATCCCTTGCAAACTTTTATCTTAAGAAATCTGACTGGGAAAGATGCAGATTTCCAGTCATAAAACAGATCCTACCTCCAGCTTTTTGATAAAAGGTTACTTTTTGCTCCTTTAGTAAATATTTGCCATTACTTTGATGAATAATTCTGGAATCATTATCATGTATTCTATTGTCGTGTTTTCCTGAAAATAAGACCCTGTTTTATATTTTTTTGAACCCTGAAATAAGCGCTTGGCCTTATTGCCATGCGCTCAAAAGCCCGATTGGGCTTATTATCAGGGGATGTCTTATTTTGGGGGAAACAAGGTATCATATTATCATGAATGTGGTGTGTAATAAAGAGTCCAGATTTTTTTCCCAATAGGACAATACGAGGTAAGCAGAAAAGAGGGTCAGGTCAGTTGGGCTGCTGAGAAAATTTTATATGTCACTCTAAAACAATATAAAGCTATATCTCTTATTTATTTAGGTACAAAAAGTTATCGTAAACAGAGCAATTAGGTATTGACTTCATCAATGGAAGAAATAGAATTTCTAGCATTTTATATTTCATGTGGGAATTGACAGTGTGAAAATTTAAAATATACAGACGTATATGGGTTACGTGGTAAGCAGTTAAGTGAAAATAGATGGCATAAGTGCATGATTTAAACAGATTCAGGATAAAACCAAATTACCTTCAAAAGGCTGAAAAGCTGCTTGGAAAACAAACCTGTTGAGATAACAGATACATTCCTCTAGATTCATTTTGTATAGACCTTTTTTCTTTCTTTGACTCATTCTAAACAACTGAAAGTAAACCTTTAATACCAATGAAATAGGGTGGAAATTTTGTCCCTCTGTCATATTTATGGGTACTTCTGAGCAAAAGAGGGTTTACTTGGGGGATAGACAGACTTGGGTTCAGTCCTGCTTGTAGAGAAAATTGAACTTCCCATATCTCTTACCACTGTTCCAACTCGTCACTGTACTCGGTCTTGGCTTCCTCTGGAGGAAGGAACTTCTGTTTATTAGCAACAAGTGCCTTTACAGAAGTGAATCCCCACATTGTCTTTCATGGGATAGTTTGCAGAACCATATGAGGGAACACTTGTCTCGCCTTTTCCCACAATTCCAGTTATCTTCTTGTGGCAAGAAAGTGATATTGCTTCAAAAAAAGATCCCAACAGACAGCTGGAATCTTCAAATATTAAAATTGTGAAAGTGGGGAGGGGGGAGAGGTTGTCCTATGAGCAGTAGGACAAAGCTGTCCATACTTGCTGAAAGATGAGCTCTGATTGGCTAATAGCTGTGTTTTTTTATTATACAGGAAGGAGAGTCAGTTGGGCCAGATGCGTCATGCCCAGGCCACGCCCACCCCAGCTCAGTGAAAGAGAAAAAGTCACGATACATCACGTGGTGACAATGTGACGCGGTGAGTTTGATACCCGTGTTTTAGAATAATGATTTGAATGATAGCAACTTGATCCCTGCCTAAAAAAATATGATGAAAGCCAGCCAAAATACTGGAGATGATACTTACAAGGATTTTACCTGCCAGCATCCCATAAGTCTTCCACAAACTTTCAGAAAGTTTTAGACTAAATTTCCATAGTTCCAGATATAAATATCAGACCATACTTCCTGTTGCTGATAGGATCTTCATAAATGATTTGGATGAGGGAATAGAAGGAGAACTCTTTAAATTTGAAGACTGTTATGTCCTGACAGTCGGCGCATGCGTAATCGCAGCCGCCAGAAGAGGGCGCTAACTTGGCAGGAAGTAAGAGGGCGCTGATTGGGTTAGACACTGACAGCTCGGGTATATAAGAGCTGTCAGCTTATGAGAGCTTGCTCGCTCGCACTGTTCACGCAGTTAGTTGTTCACGTTATTGTTTTGAAGTAATAATTAAAAGGCATTGTTACTGTTAACTATTCTGCCTCGATTTCTGCCTGCCCATGTCAGTATAAAGCAAAGACACCAAGGGGGCAGGAATAGCCAAGACCCCAGAAGGATCTCAACAAACTTAACATTGGGCCCTATCTAACAACATGAAATTCAATGGAGAGAAAAGTAAGGTTTTACACTAAATAAAATAAAAAACCAAATGTAAAGGTAGAGAATAATTAAAATTTAGCTGAGATGAAACGTGCTAGAGCAGAGGTGTCAAACTTGCGGCGTCACATTGCCGACACATGACATATTGCAATCTTTTCCCCCTTTGCGGAGCCGGGGTGGGCATGGCCTGCATATGACGTATCCGTCCCGTGGACCTACAGTTTGACATCCTTGTATAGAGGAATCTTGGAGTCCTAGTGGACAATCACTTAAATATTCTGGAAAGAGTGCAGAGAAGACAAACAAAGATGATTAGGGGGCTAGAAGCTAAACCACGAAGAATGGTTGCAGGAATTGGGTATGTCTAAGTTTAATGAAAAAAATGACTAAGGGTGACATGATATTTCAATATCTGAGGGCCTGCTACAAAGTTGAGGGGGTCAACTACTTTTCCAAAGCAAAAAAGGCAAGACAAGCAATCGATGGAAACTAATCAAGAAGAGAAGTAACCCAGATCTAAGGAGAAATTTCCTGACAGAATAATTAACCAGTGGAACGGCTTGCTTTCAGAAGTTGTGAATGGTTCATTGCTGGACATTTTTAAGAAGAGATTGGACCACCATTTGTTTGAAATGGTATAGGGTCTCCTGCTTGAGCAGGGGGTTGGATTAGATGACCTCAAACAACACTCTCAGAACTTCCACTCTATGAACTTGCTAATAGAATGCCCTGATTAACAGCAGCAGAGACCAGATTTCCTTAGTTATCTTTGAGTGCACCTTTTATACACTTGAACAGGTGAAACTCCTTGCTGTACAAAGATGTGATGGAAAAACCTGGTTGCCTCACCTGTGGGAGGGAAGAAACCCATTTGCATTCAAACAATGATTGTTGAGTTTGGCTTTTGCCCTTTCCAATGCAACTTCCTTTTCTGTTGATATAATTTATTCCTTGAATATCATAAACCTATCCAGAGTTACAGAATGCTGAGTTTATGGGCGCCTCTTGTAGCATTTTCCTTGTTTGGAAGTTCAGCCAATTGAAACGTTCTTCTCCTTGTGGCTGCTAGCAGGCATCCTGCTTCTGATGGGTTACTGAAGTGGGAGGAGCTTCGTCCCTCTGCCTCTTCCCTCTTGCAACTGAGTGTCTTGCCACAATTGGCTCAGATTCCTTAAAGGGCAGAAGTTGGCTTCTCAGTATACCACGAAAGAAGGGAGCAGCATTTCCATTACTTTAAAGGTTAGTGTTGAGAATATCTTGATTCAGGGCATTTTTGTGTGACTGACTTTTTTAAAAAGTTAATCTTTTTTTAAAAAAAGTTTCTATCTTAATATGAAAGATGAAAAAACCTTTTTACATTCAACTTCTCTTTAAAAAATTAGGTTATTTTAGCAGCAGTAAATGTTTTCAAAATAAAGTTAGAAGTTTGAATTTTCCCTTTGAACTGGAGGTTGCAATTTTGTATCTACTTATCCAGAATGAGACACATTGAACTCAGTGGGATGTCTACATAAAGAAGTACATTGAATATATGTTTTGTAGGATAGGAGATACCATAAATACACTGTGGATTAATAACTAAAATCTACTAAGAGGTAATATATCTAGTTTTGAAAATGATAATTATTTAGGCAATTACTGTAGGTATAGTCTCCAGGGCAGCCTTTCCCATATGGTTGCCTTCTACATGCATTGAAATTACTGAAGTTAATTAATCAAAAATCATATTTAGGCTATATTGGACTCCCCAAATAATATATTTGAAACAGTAGACATCAGATATTTTTAATGTTGGGAGTGTAAAATAATTGAAGTCTCATTGATCACATTATATGGTCATGTGATTATTTAATGACTCTTTGGGATTGTGTATTAATGTATATTTGTAGATTAATGGCAAAATCTTTTAAATGTTAAAAATGTGAATGTAATGTTGAATTTTATACCAAAGTTTTGGAATTTGACTTTTTATAAGGAATTGTAATTGTATCAATTATTGTATTAAATTTGAAAAGTGATATTATTCCAGATGTCAAAGAATGTTTGCTGGAAATGTGTGATTTATCTGTTTTGGAAAAGGCAATATTTTCTAAATCAAAGGATGTCATTATGGTGGAGATTTTGTGGTATCTCACAATCTTATTTTGCTAATAGTGTTCAATTCATTGGTAAACCAGTGACTTATACTGATAAGTATAAAATATATATATTTTTTGTAACTTCAGTTTGTATTTTTAGTTTTATTTTCTTGTAAAATTAAAGATTGTTGGTTAAGAAAAGTAAAGATATTAAACATTAAAAAAATTATGTAGCTTTTGGCTACTCCAGATAAAGTAATTGATGTAAGAATACTTAGTGACCACTTTAGCAGCTGCTTTTTTTTTTTTTAATTAGTTGCAGTTATCCAAGTTACGTTTAAAGGCATGAGCAATGAGGGATGATGGTAGCTCAACACACATAGAAAACAGCAAATTGGAAGAAACAATTTTGGGAAGCATTTTCTGTTGGGTATACTGTAACAATACTTAGTGTTGTGTTTTAAGAGTTTGGATTAGAACCCTACAATTTACCAGTGCACCCTGTTTAGTTAAAATAACATTTAAAATGTTAAAGATTTTAAGAAAATGTTAAAAAAAGGAACATGTTAAGAAGGAAGATAATTCAAGACATGTTTTGAAGAAAGGTTTGCTGGAAAATTAGAAAAAAGTAGGGGTGTCAAAATCGCGTTGTCACGGTGGAATCATGTGACATAACAGGACTTTTTTTCCCTTTACTAAAATGGGTGTGGGCATGGCCAGCGTGTGATGCATCCGGCCTGCAGGCTGCGAGTTTGACAGTCCTGCTCTAAAGCATGTCATATTACAAATTGTTATTTAGCAAGGTTCATTTGTACTATGCAGTAAGACAAGGTTTAGCTGTGATTATTAATCTGAAACTGCATAGGTTCTCTCAGTACTAAATAGTGAGTGAACCCTGATGTATAAGCAGTGGCTAAGCCAAATAAGCAGTGGCTAAGCGCACAGCCCTGTTGCGAACCGGTAGTAAAGATAAGTAGAACCCACCCCTGCTATATAGGCATAAAAATCAGGTTGTTGTTGTGGTCCACCAGCAGCCTGCGGAGCTGGCAGCAGAGTCGGACAGTGAGGAGGCTGGGGAGGAATATGGGCCAGTCCTGGAGTCTGGGGAAGGCTCGGATGAGGGCTCTGATTGGAGGCAGAGAAAGGGCCTCCTGGGAGGGATGTGCTGCCTCAGGAGCCTCCAGAGTCGGACTTCAGTGAGGCAAAGGAATGGGGGAAGCCTATTCCCAGTGTGCGCATGCGCATAGCTGCCAGAAGGCAAGAACAGTTAAAACAAAACAGACGACTCGGGAGTAGGGCTTGGAGATGATTGGCCCCTCCCATAAGACTTAAAAGAGGAGCTAAGGCAAGTGGGCCTTTGTAGGAAGAAATGTTGTTAATTCTGTGCAGTTTAAAGTCTGAAGCTCTGTTTGATTCTGGACTCTGTGTGGCTTTGCCAATTAGGTCTTTGGCAGCATGTCAAGGAAGATAAAGGTGGGTGATTATCAGCCTTATCCCGAAGGACTCTTTAAAACTATTTGGGACTCATCTGTGAATGAACAGAATTCACAGCTGTTAAAATAAAACAGGTTTTTGGGACTACTCATGTGTTTTACTGACTGAGGAAGCCTAGGTCAGAACAGTTGTGCCTTTTTTAAAAAAAATATATAGAGATGATGAAACTCATTCCAAAAACATACCATTCTATTTCTCAAGTAGCGGTCATCTACAAAGTAAGCTAGTTCAATTCTATGTAAACTATAGTACAGTCATTTTGAGTTTTTTCCAGAATTCAGTGGGTGAGTATAATGCTCAATACAGATCTCTTTGCTCTTTTGCTTTCTTTTTTTGTAGCTAGAGAATTTGACCAGAAATATCCTTGTGCAGGAGGAGAAAATAAAAACAAAGCTTGGCAATATGCACATTATTCTTGGAACAGATGGAAATGACTTCATGTACATAGTGATGTATAGAAGTGTAATGGTATGTGGGAATGACCTTGAGGGACAAGGAGAAAATATGCTGCCTGGGAAACAATTAGATCAGAGGGAAGAAATTTAGCAAAGACTTGCATTAATTGATCAGTCTGTTAAAAGTTGTGGCAGGATTCTTTCAGATTTGCAACATTCTGTTAAATAGCCTTATAATAAAGCACCGTAGACTTAGCTCACTTGGTCATGTTTCTTGTCAGGCTTACCTGGGAGGGCTGATGAACAATGACTGACAATAAATATTTAAATCTTCTCATATTTGCTCCTTGAAGTCACATAAAAAAGTATGCATTTTTTAAAATTTACATGTTTATCATCATGTAACTGGAGACTGGAAATTATCATCTGTACCTATAAACAAGAATTTTTGTAATCATATAAGAAGTAAAAGATGGACTAGATTTGAAAAGGAAGCAAGCAGCAGGTTGGAGCTTCTTGACTGCTAAATGGATAGAAAGAATCTATCTTTAATTTTACAACCTACAGTGTTGACTGGGTTTTTTTTAGTATTCTTTTTTTAAATTGGCTTCTAATACCTTTCAAACCTTTTTGAATATTATTTGGCAGAAGGACAATCCAAAGGCAGAAGAAAAGTGAAATAATCACCTAGCTCATTAAAAATCAATAGCAGGTGGCCAGAAGATTAAAAGAAAAGTGCTTAAAAATGAGAAGAGGATTTACAATATATACTCAGCCTCTCATAAGTAAATTACATTGACATAATAGGGATTAATTCTTTACCATTTGAAGCCTGAATTAATGAAATCTTGATAAAAATAATAAGGTTCAGGCGTATCATTAAAATATTGAGGATCATATTTTTCTAGAACTATTTTTAGGCCAATACTTCTCAAGCCTTTATTTGCAAAGTTGTTCTAGTATTTTTAGTCGGTAGCAGAGGAATCCCCAGACATACTGACAAAAGCAATGTTGCAATGTATGCCCACTACTTTCCTAAACCTGTTGTAACTTGCATGCATGAACAAGGAGGAGCTTGCAGTGCGTGATGTTGCAACTCTTTTACCTTTCTGAGGAAAGCTTGAGGTCCTATGGGCACCACTGATCAGCCATATTACAGAACCATCCTTCTAAAGGATTTCATCTATGGTTTTTTAAAGGTTGAAAACACTTGATGGATGGAAGTGCTTCATTGCCTTTTTTATGATTTTTTTTTTTGAACTTCCCAGCCTTATTTATGGACCCTGAGTTTTCTTGGATGTGTCTCATCCAAGGCCTGACTGGGCCTGACTGCATTATTTGAACATTGTTAGTGTTGCTGCATTGTTAGTGTTGTAAATTTCTGAAATGGCAAATACTTGGCTTTATTAAATATGTTAAAAGTTTATATATTTGAGCAACATTTGAAACATGACTCTGCTTTCCATTAAGAATGGCCAAGAACCTTTAAATTTATAGTGACTTCCCTCCCTCTTTATCATACCAAATTATATTGCAATATTGCAAGCATGTTTCATTGGTATATTTTCAGATGATACTGGAAAACAAATTTGCTGTGCGAGGGAAACTAATATTTCTTTGGTTGCTATGAACCCTTTATCTCTATATCTCTGCTGATAATATAGGTTGTAACTGCTGACTCTCAGCCGGGATCCCAGCTATCAGATCTAACAGGGGCAGTTTCTTGGTGTCTTAATCCAGATTACATCTGAGATTAACTAGCACAGTGACAGTATTCTAAATTTGAAATGTAGGTAATAAAGTCTTGGTAATTTGTAAGAGAAGGAGAATTTCTTATCAGGATTAGATAGGAAACGATGTGCCAGGAAAAAAAAAAAGATTGCTTTCCTTTCTCAGCATCTGGCCTTGGGAAATTCCTTGTCTCTGCAGCAAATGTTGTAAAGCTCTGTGAAATTTGATTTAGTTCTGCCTCTAATCTTCAATTTAGTTTTCATTTTATAATTCTACCCCTTTGGGTTTCTTACCTTGGAGATAATTGCACTGTTAGGCAGCATGCTCTACATACATATGGTTAGCTGTAATAAAATATATGTTTATTTTATCTTTGTAAATTACAGTTACAGTCAGTCTGATTTAACATTTAACAGTTTACTGAATAAACTAGTTGTTGCTTTAGTTTAGTTGTAATGACAGTGTAAAGAAGACATTCTTTAAGGAGAAGAAAGTGTAATTTCTAGATTTTTATAAATTATTCAAAAACTTGTAATAAAAC